TCTAGCCCTATATATATATATTGATAGAAAATAAAGATAAACTGTCGTTGCTATTCTCAGACACTGTAATCACCGTATTAATACTTTAATTAGTTTCCATTCAATCCGTTATTCTACTAAAACACTATCCATAATAAAAACTACAGTAGCAGTCAATAATTAATAGTTATAACATTGATGTGATGCATATTAAGTACAATCTTTCTCCTACAATTTAAACAATCATACCTTCTCCAGTAACAAATTAGATTCCCAAAACTCAAAGTAGAAAGAGAAACATTTTTGAGTGTATGTGGATAGGCTGTTATTAAAGAACAAACAATACAATCCCGGAATTTTTCAGAAACAACAATTAAAAAAGCCAAAGAAGACAAAACAATTTAACAAATGACTAACACAATTTCAGAAACAACTTCTCCTCTGGATCCTGATTTGTCCAGCACTTCAGTCCAGTTATCCAAATTTCGGGTTTAATTGCGAGCTGAAAAAGAAATAAAACCTATTATAATAATAATCTTGCACTGTTTCATCACTTTGTAAAATGGTTGCGTATTAGTTCAAGGGATTGTTAAATTTTATGTTCACTTTTTTTTTAAATAGGAAGCTAGAAGATTCTCTAAAGTTTATGGAAAACAACTGCATTGACAATATGAAAACAAATTAAGATCAGTAACTAAAAAAGTTGATGCATTTGCACGACAAACAGTTATACCATTGGTTGTTTGTCATTCTGTATAATGATAGTGCAAAGGTTTGCGACTACGTACTCAATCAAAATTTTTCCACAGAATTCATTAACTAATTTTTTGTTTTCTTACTGATTATACTGATAATGGCTATATTATTTACGATTTATAATCCCTTTCCTTAACGAAGGGGTTTACGCTCTAAAAATATATTGTAAATTAAAATAATTTTANGTAAATACATATATTTATTTTGTATTTTCATTGAAAAGTACTACCTCTACTACTACTACCTCTCTTATTAAATTGATAACATTTAAGATTAGTGTTTATGAGATTTTTTTTAATTATTATTTAGTCTGAAAAAGTCAAAGTTTGACGAAAATGATATTCTGTAAATAAATTTGCAAGTATTAGAAGCTGAGACAGGACTCAAGAGGAGGGGTGTAAGTTCAACCAGCCTGACGACTGTAAAGAAAAAGAACATATTAAAGATACATTTTATTTTACAATTAATGCATGAAAGCACAGCGACAATCCTAAATAAGAAAATTGTAATTCAAATGGTACTAAAGGCGCATAAAGAGATATAATAAATCAGAACTGCTAATAATTTGTTATATTTGCATTTTATTTAAACTAATCAGATATTACATTTCTGTTAATTTGAACATTTCGAAGGTGACCTCACTGCCGATAAAATAAATTAAGGCAAAGTACTAGGTAACGAAATTGAAATCATTAAAATACAATCGCCGGAAAGACGTGGCATACGTGGAGAATTATTACTGCTAAAAAGTTTAATAATTCACAAAAACAATTGCAATACTTCGCAGTATGTCTATTCTCTGTAATGTTACACTAAATATATAAATAAATTAAAAGATTTGAATAAGCTTCTATTCGTGTCCACGTTAAGGCAAATTTCAAAGTTTTCATAGGGATTTGGACAAAATTACGAATCAAATAAAGGAATCGAATTCTGGTGAACGTTTTGCTTCTTTATTGCAGCATCCTCAGAAAATGGAAAATTCCACAAGACTTTTCAAAAACGTGGAATGCGTTTTGACATTCAAGATGTAGGTACTCCTCAGCCACAGACTCATCAGTCTCTATTACTAATGAGCATCCACAAGAGCAGAACCTACCCTTGGACTCGGTCTTGGTCCTACATATTTAGTCTTGGTCTTGTTCTTGCAAGATCGGTTTTTGTTTTTCTAAGACTTATGGTAACAATTTAGAAAAATGAAAATTAAATACATATAAGAAGTCCGTAACCTTGCAAATTCAAATTTATCCTTACCATTGTTTGGTTATCGTTATCCTTCAAATAAAAATTAACACAAAACTGCTTTTTTTGTTTTTAATGGACCGAATTAGTTGATTTTGGAACACCCCGTACATCTCACAACAAAATACCTACACATTCAGCATATTTTAAATAAACTCCACAAAAATTGGAACCTTATGAGCACTTTGTGTATTAAAAATACAAAAATATCATCTTTTAATTTCATTGTGTTATCTTCTCTTACAAAGTTTGTTAAATAACATATTAAAGTCAAAATTTGGAAGTTATATACTCTTAAACTAATGACAATTTTTTATGAATTTATATGTAGTCAATTAAACCGCTCAAGACCTCAAGTGAATATTATCTTCAAAGATGCAAGTTCTGTGTTATAATGTAAATATAAATGGTTCAATAATCCGATTGATAGTTAATGTATTGTCCATTCTAAAATCGATTTAGATCTTATTAGATTTAGGAGCTACACTCAGCATTATTTATTTATCATGGAAAATTTTCCTTGCTTGAGACTCATCAAAACAACACCTTACACAGTCAATGACTCGCCACCAATTTTTACATAATTCTTTCAGTTAATTTCCATAAAGTTAGATCGGTGTTTTATTCCTGTTTTATTAAGAATGTGATTCTGTCTTGTAATCAACCTTGTGACCATCCGGATAGATATTATGTTTTTAAAACAACAAACGAACTTTCGGTCGTCCTTCAATATCAACAGATCCCACTCTAAGGTCAATTTCCCTTTTCTTGGTATACCTACGCATACTTTATAAACAAATGAAAAACTACATCACTTTAATTATCACCAATTCTAGTTAACATTAAATTACATTTACAATTATACGAGTAATACTTTTGGAAAGTCTTTTGAAACAATTTTTAAACGTTTTTGTTAGTTTAATATACCAATACGGAATATTAATATTTTTTGTTAAATAAATTTTAAAATTCCCCTTTCTATTATTTATTAGTTACAAATTAAAATTGAGCCAATAGTCCAAATGGTGTTTAAGTGTTTACAGTATAGGATTGAGTATTATTTGATACTGTTTTATTTTATAAATATACATATATGATTATTATAGAATTAAACCTTTTTCTGGTAATTATTCAGGAGGAAAAGAAGAATCAAATTTTAAAGTTCCGTATTTTAGATTTTGTGAATCCCCAGCACATC